TGCATCCTTCCATTTCTCATCATTTTTCATCTTCGCTCATCATTTTTGCTGCGAATTCATTTTTTTTTCCCCCTACAGTATGTTTTTTTTCAGCTAGCATTACCACTGAGAAAGAAAATGAGTCTAGCAAAACGTTGAAAGTTTTAGATAAATGGAAAATTCATTGGAAAAAAAAGAAAGTTTTCTGGGCCAAAACGAACTTTAATCCAATTCACTTAGTTGAAAGCTGCATGCAATTTCACGTTGAGTCGCCACCACCTCCACCTGGTAAGGAACCGTACCTCCATGCTGTTGCTTTAAGGTTGAGATTTAAAGATATTTGTATAGGCCTTTGCTAAAAAACAATAGAATCTCACGTAGTTTCGAATATTTTCGATTACGATAGGTTTAATCCAATGAGCAGAAAATAGGAGCAGGATGTTTCGGTCCACGAAGTTGTATACATTCCTTTTCAGTACGGGCCTCATTTCTGTGAATGCTTAAAAATATGCGTGCGCTGGACATAGTATTAGGGTATAATATTAGTTGAGTTAATTTCGAAAGTTGGTGCGCACGCGTTTTAGATTATCTGTGCGCTTTTCTGAAAGAACTCTGAAAAGGCGCAAAGTATATATTTTGCAGATTTTCGGCATGATAATTCCTTTCCAAACTTTAATGTTATTCAGAAGCGAATTCTGCAAATTTATCAAGTTTCCAGTTACTTTTTCGAAATAATAATACCTTGACACTCAGATCGACTACCGTTTCATCATCCCGTTTCGTGCCATTGATATTGCTGGCAATTTCTCCATTCTCTATTTTTCGCTTCTTTCATTCAATACACAAAGCCGTTTAAGCAGATACTTCCATCGTACTGAGCATCACTGAATGCTCTGCTTTGTCCATCTGTTGCTTCTCATTTTTGTCACATGATTAGCACAGTTTTCGTTTCCTAGCATACGCGCTACCTTGGCCTATCGCTCAAATCAGACCACAGTAGGAGTACTTCATTGGAAATGTGCTGCAGCTTGCTGACAAACTTTGCCTTGCTCCCTGTAGTTGTCGCTAACTTTTTTCAGTAACAGTGGTACTTATCAATCTGCATATATTCTTGTTGATTGCAGGCAGCACAACTCCATCAGACTGCAAATTATGTGCAGGGTGAACGAGTTCGATTTGACCGAACGGGACATTTAAACGAAGAACTTGAATTTCGTCGTGCTCCGGCACCAGTGCAATTCCCAACCCTGTTGTCCAAGAAAGAACTGCTAGAAAAACTACGGAAACGAAGCGAACATCGTGAAGAACAAATTCATGGTACTCGTTTTTTTTTGAAAGAGTTTTAGCTTCCATATTTTTTTGAAATGGCAACTGACTTCAAGACACCGAAAAATGGCAAGGCGGGAATTGAAGATGTATTCTGTTGCAGTTTTGGATATCTGACATTCAGAACTCATCATTTAGCACTAGTCTGTATTTTTTACTTAATCTAACTTCAAACCATGCGATTTTCTTTGTTCATTTCATAGTTATTTTGTCTGCTGGACAGCTTTCAGGCATTTTGACCTTCTGTTTTCTCGTGATAGTTCAGCTTCTGGGAACGTTGCATGTAGAATGATTCTTAAGAAAAAACAGGAAAAAAATTCGCGGAAAAATTTAAACAGAAGGCCAAAAGGTTGAAAAAGTCTTTATCTGGTAACTTAATTTTTTCTGGAAAGACACGCCAGATTAGAAGAGGCAAAGACTCTTTCAATAAAGGCAATTTGGCAAGGCTTTACCAAGTTGAAGATTTAGCGGTTTCATTACCTCGCCTTCAAGCGTTGCCAATTCCAGACCACGTTGAACCGCATTGTTGCCTGGAGGAAAAGAGTATATAAAATTAGTTATCTTAGTTATCCTTGCAGATAACGGTGCCGAGATTGTTGATATTCCAGAAGTGAACGAGCAGGATTACAAGGATGCAGTAAGTTTTTCTTCCAGATCTGTCGTAAATCAATTTATGAACTTTGTTTTTAGGTATCTTTAAAAAACAGCAAAGATTGCTGAGACACGAAAAGCTATTTGATCACGTAGAAGTTTGTTACAAAGTTATTAATGGTATAAAAAGTTATTTGATGAAGTTTCCTTTGCAAGATAGATTTTTGCTTCATTCTCGATGCGTTTTTGGATTTCTTATCTCAGATATATTGACCAGCTATTTTTTCATAGTTTTGTTTCCCCAACTATGCAGCTGACAATTTTTCCACTTGCTTTGACCAGTGCTTCATCGACTGATGGTGAGCCTGCCGATTGTCTTCAAATATGGGTTATTAAAAAGAGTTACTAACTCTATTTTATGAGGCATTAATTTAATTAAGTTAAAAGTCAATTCAACTTTTTTCTTGCCACTCTTCATTCAATCGTCCCCTCTTTATATTCTTTTCTCTTTGTGGAAGATATTACTTATCTGGGTATATTTCCAGGGGCATTCCGGCAAGGCTGCGTTCGTATCTCTGCTTTGCGAGTTCTTAATGAGGAGAAGTGTACTTCCGCTATCCTTGAATACTACTAAAACGAATCACTGAATCGTAGAGAGATTAGCATTAGTAGCAGAATTGAATTATTTGGTTGGGAATTAGTTCTACTTATCATTATGGCAAATTTTTCG